TATATAATATGCAATGCCTTTGTAGGTACCTTGTGCAGGAACCCTCTGCTCGTGAGTTAGTCTCGCTTATGATTGGTTTTTTAATATATTTAAGCATTAGTAGAGTATCTTTACTCAGATTATATGAATTGGTTTGCTTTTTTTAAATTAAAAAATGTTTATTAAGTTTGGGTACAATCAATTTGATTTTATAGATTAAATACTGCTGCCATTATTCTTTTAATTTGTTGACTGAGCCATCTTAATACTTAGAAAAGAATATGTACTTTATTACTTAAAAGCACAATTTTCTATTGTATTCATAACTGGGTTTGATTGTAGGAGTACTCGGGTGAAGTGAGTTTGTTCTAGTTAAGCCAGGACTATTTATAAGTATAAATTCCAAGTTATACATACTCGTCATATAAAACTTGCAAAGTTTAGGGTCAACGTACGACGTCCTACAGGATGTAGCTAATTCCCCGCACGCGTCGCGTCCTATCACCGGCTTCGCCAACAATAGACGCTTTTTTAATAACGTAGCAACTACGGTCGTTGCTTGAGTACTCACTGAAACTCATTAGCCGACTTAATTATTAGACTTAAATAATTAAGTGCTATTTCGCACATAATTGACACCGTTATGACAAGCAACATAAGAAATCTATTGATCAATAAAATTACGATGTATGGATACATATATAGTGTCAAATATAAAAATCCTAACCTTCCACTATACTAAATGCGTAAAGAAGGGTTACCATAGAAATAAACGGTTTACAAATAATTTTATGGCTCAAGTGGACAAAGGAGGTCTTATCGCATTTATTTATTATTATATGTAATATAAAAGCTACTTATGCGTAATTTCTCCAAGCATAATATATTGTAGCATATTATTTATTCGGGTCAGCACAATATGTATTCCTTTTCCATACGTCTTAACCAGCCGTCATCACAATATTTACACCTACCTTACACATATCATTTTTCAAACAGTCTATCCATATTTTTTCAGTCTTCCTCTCCATACATTCCTGTCCTCATTATAACATTCCAAAGTAGTTTAAATACATGTGAAAGGTGCTCGCCAATCACTACCGCGAAAATAATTATGGAGAGCGCCACCGTCAATTTTTTTTCCAATACATATTACAGATTAGGTAGCAATTCCTAATATAACGCTCTGCAGTAACTATCATTTTATCTGCAAGTATATATTGAAACATTTTACCGTACAAAAACGACGTCTTAAACGACGCAACTTTTCTCTACCTCAATTTCTCTCTTACTTTACTTTCTTTGGCGATTCTAAAAAGAGAATATCCAGTATACAAAATCCCTTTTGGTTTCAGATTCTTAGTAATCACGTAGCAACATAACAACGGTGTCCAATATTTTGTAACTCAAAGGTGTAATTTGTAACTCAAATTACACCATTTACAACAAAATACATTTGAGTAACATTTTGTGACTCAAATGTATTTTGTTGTAATTTTGTAGCATAAATTTGTGACCATTATAGACAATCTGTCAAATCTAGCATAATATTAAAAAGAGGAGATATTTATATAATATAATAATAATAATAATACTTTATTATCTCTCCACAATTTACAATAACGAACATCATGGTGTGCCTCCTTTTAAGTACATATAATACCTGTATCAGGAGGCCACCGCTCTTCCAGTCGTTATACAGAAATATACTTATAAATTTTATGATAAATAATGAAAAAATTTGCATTGATAGGTATCGAAACTATTAGATTTTTTTTGGTGATATAATTCAAATTTTAGTACGTACACAATTTTTCTGGTGAAACTTAGGCTATGGATCAGATTTGTTATTACCTACGATGACAAATATATGCCGTACTGACATAAGTATAACTGCCTCAATAATCACTGTAAAATACGTTCCTCACACAAAAAGTAAAGCGATCAGTTCAGAGACGAAATCAACAGGTTACTCAATGAGATGAATGAGATGCAATGAAAATGGAAAGGAATTAAAATATTTATTAAACGATTGACTTTATTTAGACTGCATTTCTAATCAAACGATAATACAAATATTTATTCATTATAGCGTATAAAATACCAAAATGTTCATGATTTTATCTTTGACAGTGACGAACTCCCATACATAATATTATTACATATTTCAACCCTTTTATTTCACAATAAAAAGCAACCTTTGTCCTACCTCACGTCAAGTCTGTTAAGTAGGTTTGGCGTAAGAGCGATAACAGACATATACGCAGACGACATACTATCGCATGTATAATATTAGTATGAAATAATTAAAAGATTCTGCTCTTTATATTATATAATTAGAGATTACTGTAATAAATAAACTAAGAACAATATAAATCACAATTACTAGGTCAACTTTTAAACTCACAGCTTGTTTTTTTTTTATTTAATATTGAGGAGATCTTATGTGCACTAATACAAAAACATTAGCAACAACAACAAACAACATATATATGTCGTAGCTAATTTACGATTCACGTAAAAAATCCGTCCAATTAGGCGGCTAGCCCTATAATAGAATAGTGGAATTCATTTGCACGGTTAAACGTCGACCAGTTGAGTAACCATCACGTCCTTCTACAGTGCGGCTGTAGAAGGACGTTGCAAAGCTCAAGAAAATATTTAACTGTCAATGATCACCATAGGAAACACAATTTTTTTTTTTTTAATTGCAAAATATCTGCAATATTGGATATCTTTGAAGTCACTACAACAAAAAGCTATATTTATTTATTTAATATACAGCGACAACTACACATGTAATTTTTTTTTTAAATATGGAAATAATTGTACAGTGTTTATATGATAGCCAATAACTGGTTTACTCAACATTGTTTGAAATTATGATAAGCTATTTAATAATACAAAATTCTATCATATAAATTAATACAGTACAGAAAAATTTTAAAACTATAATTAACACATGTACGTACACCGACTAATGTCCAATATGTTTCAGCTATTTATCAAATTTGAAATACAAATGGAAAGAAAAACACACTCTATGCAAATTTTTTTAAGAATAAACGCCATCTAGGTAGTATAGTAAACTTAAAGTTCTTCCTAAATTTTATTTTAGAACTCAACTTTGAACAAAACAATGCGATGTAGAACTATACTTAACGCCATCTAGCATAGCTCAAAATACATAAAAAGTGTTTTCGTTCGTAGGTATAGGTATAAAATTATTTGTTTTTTTTTATAGGATAGGGGGCAGACGAGCAGACGGATTACCTGATGGTGAGTGATTACCGCCGCGCATGGACACCTGCAACACCAGAGGAGCTACAAGCGCACTGCCGACCTTTGAGTGACGATTTGTATTTTCAATTTATATTCAAAATATAAATTTTGTTCTAAATTATTTACTCAAATACCAATAACTATATAAAGAAATCATTATAAATAATATTTGACAGATTTATTACAGTGACGAATCAAATAAGTAAATAATGGTTACTATGGTAACATTTTGATTCCCCATAAAAACTTCCACTCCCACTTTCATCCCTTTAGATGTTGGTTTTCGGGATAAAATATAACCTTTTGCCTTTTTAAAATACTCGATTATCAATTTTCGTCGATATATGTCAAAAACAAAGAAGTTTGATACAAACGTTTTCACCTTTTTGCCCCTTCGGAGTGGAATTTCCAAAAAGCCGTTCTTAGTATACCGTATCTACGTAATAAGAGGAATTTACTCTCCAAATTTCAACCAGCGGTTTAGGCTGTGCATTGTTTGTCGCTCCGTACGTCAGTACATCTCCTTTTATATAGGTAGATTCGAGTTAACTCTCTTATACCACTTTCTAAAGTAAATAAAAAAAAATATTGGCATAACGCCTGTATATTAATTGCATACCATAGCGGATACATAGCACATTTAGATAGACCTACGCCATTCACACGCTAAAGCATTTCTCTCTATACTGATGCAATTTAATTTTTCACTGGTTAATTAAATAACAAGGCGCAATGAGAATTACTTGTATACACAGGTTAACATAGGTCAGTATTTTATCGAACATTCTACTAATTGTTTTGTTATACCTTAATAATTTATCGTAACATTCCTTTGCTTTGAGTAGAGATCTTAATTTCTAATGCTGATAGAGTTGAAAATTAAAGAAATAGTTTTGTCTCTTTAGCAAAGGAATTTCACTCGTGTCACATTAGGTTACAATCTATCATCACAATTGGTCATTACTGAGGAACATGGCGCCGTCGCTTTAGTTAGACGATTAGCGTTTGTGTTCGATTCACTTTTAGTTCGTAAGAATTCTCACTGCGTAACAACTGTTAAAAATATTTTGAGTGCAAAATAGAAGCGCAGTTCCTCGATTACACCTACGCTTTTTATGTCTAAATGAACATTCGATTAAAGTAGCGGCACACTGTGATGACTGTTTTAAAGTTTGTCCGATTATTAATTAAAATTACCTTTTCTGGAACTCAGAACTGCTATATACTAGAATGAGAAAGACAGCGTGTTACTTATGTGATATAGCAAGCCCGCTATCTTTCTCACTCTAGAAAATACGGTTCTGAAAGACAGAAAAAGATAAGGCGACGGAAAAACGATACCATGTTGTATATCGTAGTTGTAGTCATAAAATATATCGAATGTATAATATAATATGTAAAGCAAATAAAAATATATTTATTCTTATTTGTTCGATGTTTAATTAATTCATATCATTTATTATCATATTAATAAACGAAGCAAAAATTTTGGGACTCTTTTCTTAGTAAATTGTGTGAAACATGAGGTTTGTTACAGTTTTAAAGGGAAGCGTATAACTTTTATTTATTATTGTATAAAGTGTAATCTTTGCTTAATAATACTTTCAACTGTTGAGCGACCTCTGGTATAAATAAGTAAACGTGTAGTTTTTTTTTTTTAATAAGTCACTATTGTGTAATGTATCAATACAGTCACCATAGCTTGCCTCATTATTAAAAGTAAGCGTGCGGACACTTACCGATGACATTATTGTTCTGGTGATGATGGTGGGCCGCAGCGGCTGCTGCTACGGCGGCCGCTAATGCTGCTTGTTGTTGCGCAAGTTGCGACGCGAGCTGCGCTTGCAGCGCTGCATGCATGCTCACCAAATTACGGTCGGGGCCAGGGTTAGTCGGCTCGTTACGACCTTCATCGTACGTCGGTGATGATTCTTCACCTAGGGGGAAACATTTCTTTAACTCGCTTCTCCTAAACAACCAGTAGTTAAGATTTTCATAATATTTATTCATCGAGAGAGGTAGGTGAGGTGTTGCATTTATTACTCGACGAGTGTTAAAGACTATTACTCGACGAGTGTAAAAGGCTCATCGCGTACCAAGAGATTTTAAAACACATGTTGAGTTCAATTTTTATATTAATATCTACCCTCAATTGTTATAGAGTACTACTTTGTATTACACTTACAAGGAAAATATTTAAAAAATCACGATGCTTATAATAGACATAAAATATATTTGTTTTAATCGATAGGTCGACTTGTTTCAATGTAAAATTTAAGATCAAAATATTCATATAGTTTAAAATACATACATTAAGTAGTCAATGCTTTACTTAGCAGAACGACTATCATCTCATAAAAAAATTGTACGGATTTTTTTTATTATTTCCAGATTTTTTTAAAATTTGCAATTCTCTTCAGACTACGTTAAAAAAACACAGATAATTATTAATTAACCTGTTTTGAAGCGGGAATAATGATAAACTTGTTCCCCTGGTATTGAGCTAGTAAGAAAAAAATGAACTTTCCTGAATGAATATAGTATTAAAATATTATAACTGCCAACTTGCGCTTCAGTGCTTTGTATTTAATGTTTTTTAGATGTTAAAACATTTAGTACACGCGAGACGGTTGATTTTTTCGTTAAGTAAATATTTATTTAACACATCGGTTTGAAAAATATCTTTAAAGAAAATTCCATATAAAAACACTAGTCCCAGGTAAATCGAGATGGGATTGTATCTGAGACTGGTGACTTATAAACTTTATCAAATATAATAATCGGTTTGAAAATCTTACAATAATAATGCATATTTATTTAATTTATGTATTTACACCAAAAGTAGTTTAATTTTGTTATACTATTATATAAATAATATTTGTTAAATAATAGTATTCATTCAAATCTATTTAATTGATTTTAACTGTTTTACGTCATAATAGATATACAACGCGGACAGAAAGCCGTTGTCAGAGTATGACCCCGTAACTGTTGTCGATTTTCCGTAACATGTTTCTGATTTACAATACTTTGAAAAATAGCAAGGAACACGAGACGATACGAGCTTGTTTTCGACACTTTCCTGAACTAACTTTAATTTTAAATTATTAAAATCGTACATAATCCTGTATCTTTAAGCACACTGTATTTTTAAGCACAAAAATTGTTCTCAGATAATAGTATTTGTTTTTCATTCAATTTCTTAAAACTCATTAGCTCAGATTTTTTTATTTATTTATCAACATTTGTTTACACAGTATAACATGTAAACAAAGGTTGGTACACACGAATGGAAAGTAACATGCAACAATGATATTTAAATGTAACAGACACTTAAAGATAAATACCATATGTTGGATTTGTTAAGCATTTTACATTAATAACACTTATCTTATTGGACAATAGTAAATAAGTTACAATAACAAAATATATAAGGCGGCGACCTTAGTAATCTAGTGGGAATTATAGAACGTATCCTGTCATTTGGGTCTACGTGAATATCTACTTGGTCCTTATATTTATTCACCACCACCAGACGTTTGCAGTCTAGCAATCGGAAAATGTTATCCGAGTACTGTCCTTCTAATATTATCCACTTTTTATCCTAAATCTAGCCATGAACTGAGTGCAGTCAATTTTGTGGGCGACAATTTTGAACACGAAGGCTAAATCAATAAAGTCCCTGCTTTCTTTTAACCAATTTAATCCAATTAAAATCATACAAAATTGAAAAATAATCACAAATTTTTTATACCTTTTATTCTAATTATTTTAACAATTGGAAATGTGTATTAAATGTTACTTACACATGCATAAGTTATAAAAAAAATATCACACTTTCAAGTTTTCTTTAAAAGAATCAGATAAATACTCCATATAAGAATAAATGCCGGCAGACATGAAACATCACACATATTACTGCTTTTAATTGACGAAGATTCCAATTAACACGATGCTTCAAAAGTTTTATTAATTAATTCGCACAGTTTTCTCTTTTCTGTAATTAGTTTTTACCATTTCATAATTATGTTCATTTTAATATTACCTACTTAATGGACAACATAAAAAAGCAAGTCTATGTAACGTTAATTGTAATAAAGAATATTAATACTGTGTGTAACATGCTACAAACTGTAACAATTCAATATAACGAGACGTAAGCTTATTGATAAATTGTTTTCTGATTTACTTAATTACTTATATAATAATACGGTTCTTATCAAAATTATCTGATCGCATTAATAACCAACCGAGATAATCTTATAATAAAAAAATAATAAAATCGACACAATAATGTTACTAATTTAACTTCCCTCATTCCCTCGAATTGATTTGGTTTATGAATATTGACCGCACGCAACTTTATCTTTTGAAAATGATAAGAATTATTTATTACTAGTGTCAGTTCAATATATTATGACAATACTAACTATAAATAGAGACATCAGAACCATGACATGCGTCTATCTATCGTTTATATCATTTGACAACTATAACTCGTTTGTTTCTACATTTTCTAAATATTTTCCGTGTTTTCCTCATAAACATGAGTAATTTCACAGATTAGTCATGCATAGATCGGTAGTGATGTCTATACATAATCTTCCTTTATATTTATTTTGTATGATTTTTTTAATATGCCAACCTTCGCAGTTGAGTGACTTGCATACTTATGGATATTTAGTATGTTGCGGTTTTCATATAGCACAGAAGTACTTATATATTTACTTCGTTCGACATTAAAGCCATAATACGCCATACAAATGCCATAAATGTCATAATATAATATACATAATCCTATATAAAATAAAAATGGATATCAGTTCTTACTGGCTTCTGCCACCGGCGTCACTGGGCTCTCTGGCAAGAGGATACCTTTCTGCACTAGTTCATCTCTATTTGCTCGGACGGATATCTTTCTTTCTAATGCTGTAAAAAAAAAGAAAAACAATATTATGACCTGAGGTCAGTTAACACAAGTACTTAACATACAGTAATCTAAAGCTGAATTCCCCATGAATCCTCAATCAGTTACTACAAATTACGATATATTTAAATAGTTCTCTGTGGCTATTAGCAGTATCTTAATTCATATTTATGAGGTGATTTATAAAAATAGTTAAAATAGGTGAGTGGTATGGTAGCTCACTATACAACGGGTTGATTTTCGTTATAAAGCACAAATAACTAAATTGATCACACTTTTTCACCTTATTTTTTACAGTTTCCATTATACTTCTTAATGTAATTTACAAATTCTATTTATTATCAAAATAAAATTATCGCGTTACTCTTTATCTGTACACGATATCTTTTAAAATTCAAAAATAATATTATTATCTTTCTACTTGTAATAAGCATTGTAGCCAATAAAAACTAGAACTGTGTTAATATTAATGTTATATTAGATTATTTATCGATACTTACTTCTAGAAGCCGCTTCAAATTTCTCTGATTTCTTTTTCCGTTTCCACTTCCAAGGTTTGAAGAGTCTACCGAATGCGGAGAACTTAGATTTGGTTCTCTCGACTGGTGGCGTACGCGCACCCGAACCAAGACTGTTCGTGCGCACCGTCGATCCATTCTGTTTCTTAGCTGCAAACAAATAAAAACTGAATTTAATGAACAGGACATGGGCAAATCGATATCGCAGACTGGGGATTTTATACAGGTATTAAATTTGAAAAAGTATTGACTTCTCACAAATTTTATTGTAATATATAAAGAGGTCATGAATTTTTTTCAAGATTTCAGGCCCTGAAATAGGTAGGTAGTAATTGACCATTCTGTCTAATGGTAAAATTTGGCCTTCGAATGTAGTTTTTTATTAATAATATATTCCAACCTATATTATATTATGCCAGTAACACGATATATAGATTCTAAACCTTTTATGTGTTATAGATTGTTCCCCATTCCCCATGTTTAAAATTCATTACTAACGTTAGTCATCTGTTTTTAGGTCACCTAAATCAAATTTTAGCTTGCGAATAAAAAGTTTTTGAAGCGAAATTTTGCCATTGTCTGTCTGTACCATCTATTTTTATTTGTATTTATGCCCACCCTTAACTGTAACAGTCATGTGATTCATTAAGTTTTCCTTTTTAGATGCGAAATGCTAAAAATGGATACACATAAAGCTGTTGCTCACGATTGCGCGCGAACAACAGATAATATATATGTATATATTTTTTGGTAACGATTGCTTCTCTTGAAGAAACTCGTACATTAAAAAAAATATAAAAACAAAAAAGGTAAAATAGCAACGCAAGCCAATAAAAAAAATTGTGACGTTTATTGACCTAATGCAGTTTCTGTGAGAGTAGCACAAAGGGAATTGTTCAATTTTGGCTTTTGGTGGACAAGCTAATTAGTAAAAACTATGTAAACAGTAAAATATTATTAAAACTGAAAAAAATATTTTTAATACTCTCATCATGGGAAACTTAACATTAAAAATATCATTTTTAAAAGTATTTTTTGGATTCGGATATGTTTTGTTGACATGTTGCACTGTGTTTCCATATCAATAAATGTTATTGAAGTACTATTACTAATAGTATCGATTAATCGATTAGTTTTAACTTTAATTAAAATGAATGTAATTAAAGTATATATATATATATATTAATGCATATATAGTAGGTAATCTTTTGCAATATCATGTATAAAAATATTAAAAACGTTACAAATAATCCTTTTCAGTTAGATATATAAGTTCATTTACAAATCAATCGATTACTTTTCATCGATAAAAGATTTTTATATGGCAACACCATTTCACTTTTGTCAACAAAGACTTTTGAGTGATAATTCTTATTCGGCTAGGTTATGTTTTGATTTTGTTGTTACTGTCTATCAAGAAGAAGAAGACCAATTTATTTCCGTGAACTCGATTTACATTGATAATGGACTCCGATACCTCTCGAAATTATGACCCGGCTATACCTCTGGACACCGAACCAAGCACAAGTAGTGGACATCGTCGGCAGCTTTGTATAAATTGTGGAAGATCTATATTAAATACTAGATCACAACTACTGCAAACAATATCCGACAGAGGAACACACATTAGAAATGTAATTATTGATTGGAAATCCCCACGACTGGTAGGATTATAGTTATTTTTATTTATTATGATTACTTTACTACAATTAAGCTTCCTTTATGAAAAGTATAACATTAATATATCGCTGCCATATTGTTTAAGTAACATTTTGTTAACAAATAATTTAATAATATATTATTCTCTTTTAGGTGCATGGACCTGATAGCATCTGTCATTTGCTGGCAGTGAGCAGATAGAGTAACAGTTCCTTCTAATATTCCAGAACCTACACAGACCATTACCGGATTCTAAAAGAGTACCTGATTCACAAGCATATTGTAGTGTTCCAGATTGTGACTCACCACAGCGACAGACAGTTCCCACATGGCTTTGGATAAAATTGTTTGTTGATTTTAACTTTTATGTACCAAAAACCAGTAGGCTGTGTAGTTCTCATTTATATTATAATAATTGGACTGAATGGTTGTCTATCATGCAACTAATTCATACATTTACTACAGAACATATACAAGCTTTTGCATTATTTGTTAAAGAAAGAAATCATACAATGGATTTTAACAACATTGAAGGAATGCCTGAAGTCATTGTACACTTTTGGATAGGTCTGTCTAAACTTCAGTTAAAATCAAATTCCTTCCTGGGTTATCTGAGATGTGTATTGGGGAGTTAGGGCTTGTTTGCTTGTTTAATTAAACTATGAACTGGGGATAGTGATGAGAGAATATCAACTTTATTAAATATACCTCGTTCAACGTTAACAAAACTATTAGTAGCAGCTTGTGAATTACTAAATGTGGAATTTGTTTCTCATAATTCATTGACTGCCCGAATGCTAGCCTCCAGCTGAAGAGAAACTGTATGAGCAGTGTAATTTATTTATTAAATGATTTTGGAAAGTCTATTCTTATAAATAAGTGTATTTACTGTCTTTTGCTTGTACAATTGTATTTTCAAATTAAAGGTAAATATGTGTAAATCTACAATTTTTTTATTTAACCATCTCTGTTTGTTATTTCTAACATAAATAAATTAATATGATGATAAGGTAATTAAAGTGTATTACTAAAAAAGTACTATCGTTACATCGTTTATGGAATACTACATATGCTTATATATTTACAATGTTAAACTTTCCCATGAAAATATTACAATAGTTAACTTCCTTAAGACATGAAATATTAAAAAATAACGTTTTTTATAACTATAGATAATGTCCACTCAAAGCCAAAGTGCCCATACAAACTGAACAATTCCCTTTGGTTTAAGAGTTTTTAATCCGGAAATTTTGATGTCAAAGATGCACGTCGCCCGGTCGCCATGTTACGGATAAAATGGTTGCTATTTTGGAAAACGTGGAGCAAAATCGGTGTATCAGTTACGACGTAAACTGAAGAATTGGGAATTGACCACAAAACAGTTTAGGCGCATTTGAAAAAAGCTGGGTACACAAAAAGTTGGATATTTGGATACCTCACGATCTCACTGAGAGAAACTCAAGTTTACGGCGTAATGAAACCGAACTATTTTTGAAGAATTGGTGATGAAATGTGGATCTCGTACGACAAGAACGTGCCACAAAGGTCGTGGTCAAAGGTCGATCAGACTTCATAGACTATGGCGAAACCCGGGTTAACTCGCAACACGGACATTATTCATTATGAGCTGTTACCGCCAGGCAGGACCATTGATTCTAAACTCTACTGCGAACAACTGATGACATTAAAGCAAGAAGTGGAGAAATAGCGGCCAAATTAATCACAATAGAAGGGTGTAATTTTTGATAACATGATAACAGTAGACCTCATGCATCTTTTGCCACTCTGCAAAAAATTAAGAGTTTAGCTGGTAGGTATTAATATATCCGCCGTATAGTCCTGAACTTGCACCTTTAGATTTCCACCTACTTCGGTCTCTTCGGAATTCCTATAGGCAGTGTGAGGTTAACATAATGCGAGGACGGCCAAAACCACTTGTCGCGGTTTTTTGATCAGAAGCCCCAAACTTTCTATAGCAATGAGATCATGTCCCTACCTACAACATGGCAAAAAGTTATCGAAAAAAATGGTAGGTAGCAACGTACTTTAGTTAAATTTTAATATAGTTTATTAAAAAATGTTTTGATTATCATATTAAATACAAAGAAACTTTTTCCCCAACCTATTATGTAAAAGGGACGATACCAGAACAAATGTAAGGATCACGGTTGATGATGTGTAGTATTGAAACCATTTAATTATGATTCAATTAATATACCTATCTTGGATGCGCTTTTAGCAAGGACTAAAAAGGACGACTAACACAAATAGTGGGTGCTAAGGACAGTGTAAATGTGCAAAGTATTTGGCAGCAAAACATTGTTTCAGAAAACGCTAAACACAAGCTAATGATGATCCCAACACTAATGTATGGATAGGAGAGTAGGGCATATAAGGGAGAGCATGCAAGTTGAATAAATACAGTCGAAGCGGCATCGTTACACAGAATTGCGCAGAACTGCATTGGTAATGAATTAAGAGATTAGAAATAGAGTTAATCTGAAAAATACGGTGTCCGTATAAATTAAAAGTCGGTTGGGACATGAGAAATATTGAGGAAAGAATATCTTGAGGAAAGATACCTAGGATACCTAGGAAGGATACCTGCGAGCATGTATGAAATAAGCAATGACGTCGAGGAGGCTAAAGACGTATGTAGCTGTGACTTGTAGCCATCGCTTTTCTCTACCTACCCGGCGAGGGATCCAGCGTGAAGACATTTTATCAATCCTATCCGTGATCTGCGTTCTTCTCATAACCTATCTATAATCATTCCGTCCCACTCCACTGATTTCTTAGCCAAGTCCTTTTTATTAAAGCTATTAAAATATGGAATTCTCTACCGGTAGATATCAGACGTGCACAATCACGTGACTCTTTTACGAAACAGATAAAAGAACATTTCCTCAAGCTGGATTTTTCCTCCTAAATTATATTGTCTTCTTTTTTTATATGAGGTATGTAGTATCTGTATGAGTATATATATATGTATGTGTGTATTTCTGTTTTATAGTAATTTTGTAGTACATTTACATTTATCATAGATCAACCCACTACTCACTCGTTTCTTTAATTGGTATAATTTCCTTTGGTCAAGGGTAGCCTGGAAGAAATTGCTACCTTAGCAATAAGGCCGCCTTTTGTGTTTGGTTTTGATTATAAATGTTTTGTATAACCGCAATAAAGTGTATTCATTCATACAACCAAATTATCATTTCTGTTCACAACGGACCAATGTATGATCTCCACATTTACTATTACTTGTGAATGTTTCGTTATCCCAGATATGAGCTATTCTATAATAAACGAAATACAGGAGATTCAATTAAATATTGGACCGATCGAAAAAACTAATTTTAGTAATTCAGCTAAACTGCAATGTTCACTTCTTGATTGTTATAAAATGCCTTCTAACTTAACAAAGGCACGCTTTAATATAATAATTCAAGAATACATTATTATATAATTTAAAACACTGGATATGATAGTCA